AAAGACTGCGGAGAACAGGGAAGCGAATCTTTTAAAGGATGAAACCCCAAAATTCACATTATTTCAATTTCTTCTGAATACTACTTGTAGCAAATAAAATCTTCGTGCCGCATTACTACCAGCGTAAATACATTGAGCATGTGCTCAAACTGCATGCATATGCATATCCCCTGCATAAACACTGAGAAGTAATTTGTCTTTAAAATCTTACGTAAATACACTGTGGCACCTTCAGTGCTGCGGATTCGCGAAAAGCCGGCAAAGAAGCTGCCACATACAATCCCCAAACAAGGAGGGAGGAAAAGGAAGCTGTATTCTGCCTCAAAAGACAGACATAAAGTAGAGATGCGTGAAGCACGATGGCCGGTGGTGTAGTGGTTAACACGCCGCGTTTGGATTTGAAGACGAATGGTTCGCTTCCCACCAGGTCGACACTTATTTAGAAGGATGACTCCGTCCATGAATTAAAGTGCATATTTCTATTCATTAACAATCTATAAGATAAATTAGAAAGTTTAGCCCTCAACAAACTTCATGGATGGACAAAGTGTATTAATAAAATATAACTATACGATGTTATATGAACACAGGCAAGGCAGCTAACATGGCACGAGAGAATCAGGCTAGAAGTTTATATGGAATTATACGAAAGCGAAAAGTTGAAAATAGACAAAAGAATGATGGATTTGACGGCATGCGATGCGGGGAAATTTTATAAAAACTTATTTTCGTTTTGAAAAACAAAAACTTACTTTGTGCATAAGTTATCAACAAGCACGCATGTGCAGTTGTTTTCGGTAGAACATGGTCCGGCGTGCGAACATGGCTCATAAACATGCGTATTGCGCACTTTACCTTCTGTTTTTGCCCATTTTACGGAACGGAATACACGATGTTGGTCTCTGATGCTCCTGATGATAGCATTGCGATAAAAAAAAAAGCATATTTATTGTATGGCGAAAACCCAAAAACTGATTTAATTCTCAAATATAAATAATATGTGAACAAAACGAGCACGAAATTTGATTGGTTTCGCTAGATTAGCAGGTCAATTGGCTTCTTGACAGAAGAAAAATGAAAATTTCGGTGGCAGTGAAAGGGGAAATGTTCTATTACAACATTTTTATTAAATATTTTATTAAATATTGTTAAATATTCGTCGCAATGCCACATCTTTATCATTGGACTCTTTGTAGTGATACATTTGTATAACGTGATTAGGCCAAATTCATGGCGCAGAAATTCTAAAATGTCTTTTTTATGAATAGTTGACATTCTTCAAAGCGCTTAATACACCCACTGTTTCTTCATGTGTTTTTATAAAAAAGCAATGAAGGCCATTAAATCAGTATATCTGATCAAGTATTTTTCTCAAATCAAGCTTACTTTTTCTTTTTTGGTGAAATTGGTGAGAGATCAGCACGTGGTGAGATTGGTGCGCTGCGAAACGAATAAGCATAAACCTAAAATTACCAGGAAACAGCTAAAAATGTGCTACTACAAAACGGAAGGAATATTTGATCATAAGTCACAAAGTCATGCACCGTCATGGATGATGCTTCTTTTTTTAAACGAACATGGACCAGAAGGGAATCGAACCTCTCACTCCGATCATTTTCAAACTGTGACGCGTTATCCACTACACTACCGGCTTTTGTGCTCCAAACAGCACATCCATATGTATGTCAGTTCATCTGACGCTGCTGCTACATGCACCCCACACCAACTGGAGCATTTATATCTGTATACATGCCACTATCTGACGCTGGTACCACATGCATGGTAGTGGCATTAATTCTTGTCGGCTTTTCGCAGGACTTCCGCGATATGCGCAGTCAGCAATGATCAAAAAACAGGCTTTACATTGGCTGTGGGAAAAAAGAAAAAAATGAGGGAAGAGAGTGTTTACAACTGTAAGTTCTTAATTCAAGATTATAGTTACTTCACGGCAGGTTTTTGGTGGCCCATCAGTCGCGACGATATTCAAAACTTCAGCTAATTTGCAAAAATCATTGTTGAATATTCGTCGAAACAACAAAAACGCGGATTCCTGGCCCGCCGTCCAATGCGCCTCATCCGTTTTAATGTTAAGCATCGCATCAACGGTCTTCGAATCGGGCGAGAAACCACGGCGCTCAGCTTCTTCCTGCAAATGACATACAGCACGAAAAAATTCACTGGTTTCAACGACGATCATAGGCAAAAATTACAAGGAATCACAGACCATAACATTTCCAGCGACGTGTTTGAAACATTCCGGCCCACATGGTTCTGGATTCGGTACAATCCGATTTTTTGTTCGTCGTCGTGGCACTTCCTCAGTCTCCCTCGAATCGAGACCTTAATAAAAACCACGCATAATACCACGCGAAATTCTGAACGAGGAATTGAATTCGCTCAAAAAGTACCAGGAAAAGCAGGTTATTTGCACACAAAAAACAAAATCAAACAAAACAACGATATCATTAAAAATATCAGAAACGGTGAATTGCGTATCTACTGCTACCACGGTAAAGAAACAGGGGTTGGTCATCGGAGAAAGTAAAAATTGCCGGACAAAAAAAAATTTGGAATGCTTGGAACAAATGTTAGATCCCAGTCTGCACCACGGCCTACGCAGCAGGACAGTTTTCCATCGATTACAACCCTCTAAATCCCCGCACTTGTACCCAATATACATTTTTTCTTGGTCGATTAGACCCGAAGGCCACTGGTATTCTTACAACAGTGACTTAGATTCACTCTGACACATAGTGGATGTTTTCCCTTGCTATTCCCCCTTCCTCCTCCCCACCTTTCCCAATTTCCACGTAAAATTATGCCCCCAAATGAGCAGCTCAGCTTCTCTTCTCGACAAAAATTTCCTTTTTTTTTCATTTAACTTTTTATCCTATATCAAAGTGCGATAGAAGTTCGTCCCCCCATTACGTGTTGAAATTTAGGAAGAAAAGAACGAGCCATGGAAGCCCAGTCAAAATTAATCATTCTAAGCAGGGAATGTCAGGGTTGTGGTAGATGTGCGGTGATAATTTGCGGCAGTCTACTGACTTGGTGACACTTAAAACCTGTCTACCACCGACAGTTTTATTGTTAGCTTATTTCCTCCTGGGAAAGTAATATTGCACATGTATGAGGTAATAAGCATATTCGACAACAGAGTCAGATGGTTTCGCTATTATCCATTTTAGGCATCGACGCTGTTCCGGTTTTTTTCCTGATATTTTGAAGTTTCGTAACGGAATTTAATTCAATCAAGAAATCACCTCGTAAATTAGGATTCAGTTTGAAAAAAACAAAAAACAAAAACAAAAAAGGAACCAGAGAGATGGAAGGGCGAGCAAAAAGGACCAGCTTGAACGAACCATGGACTAAACAGTCATACGTGAGGCAACGTTTGCACATCAGAACTCGGAACGACTGAAGCGATTTCATGTCCAGCGATAGCGGCTGATCATTGCTGCTGGTGACTGTATCGCATGGGTCGAAACGCCGCTTCAAATCCTCGTAACTAAAATAAACTGACATAATTCACCGTAGAAAAATTGAACTCGTAAAAAACGACATAATATATCGTAGAAAAATTTTAAAAAGTCGGATAATTTTTTCAGAAGTTTAATAAAACTGGCAAGCAAAAAGACTAAGGGGAAAAAAAAACATACAGGACGGGAAGCTGTTGCACCGAGGCTTTGTTTGGAAACTGCTCGTAGACCGCTCGATAAACCAATTCCTCAGCTGCAACACAGTGTGTAAACATTTCAGGATGGTACAGAATCCAATTATTATTTTCGTAATTCCCAACAAAAATCACCGAATCTTATTGATCCCCCTCCCATCGTTAATTCTCGAACCCTCGAGAAACTAGTGAGGCCTTCTGCGGTTCGATCTTTGTCGATTAAAGAGGCCATTTGCTTATTTTCCGCCAAAAATCGGAATTACCGTTTGGCTGGTGTCGGCCGAAGTGGCCTTCGACTAATCTTTTGCCAAAAATCGAAAAAGTAGAGGTAAGCATCAAGAGCGATAGACTATGCACACACACACGCACACCCACACACACACGCACGCACACATCCAGTGAAAAAGTTCGGTAGGAAACACAATATAACACTTACAAGCCTATCTAGTTTGCTAGATGAAAAACGATATCGAATTAAGTTTAGAGGTTGGTTACCGCAGTTTAAAATCCCCCACACTTCAAATAACAAGAAACAACTAAATATATCAAAAATAAAAATCCCAAAAATTCTTTAGAAAAACGCGCATATGTGGCGGGAAATATCATTTGAATTTACCGATGTTCGAATGTTTCTCAAATAGCCTTGTTAGCAACTGATACAATATATGATCGTTGATG